TTTCTCCTAAGTACCAGTGATATAACCCATTTCTGTGATCATCTACCCTACCAGACTGTGAGCTACTTGCTAAAATCTTTTTACTGTCTCTGTGTCTAGTAAGTGTTGAAACGTGGAACCCAGGCACAGAGGCAATCAAAAAGGTGAGGGGACAACAGCTTAAAACTTCATCCTTGAAAAGGTCTCCCCCTCCTCAAGGGAGGTCAGGTGAACAGGGCCAGGATTAAAGTGTGGCAAGAAATGAGAATGCACCAAGAGAAAGAGGGAGAATTTAAAACTGTACAGGTTTCCTCGGTCTAATTCTTGCAAAGGGATCAGATCTACATGCAAATTTCCAGGGCCAGGCTCCCTCTAGCTAGAGGAACCCTTAGGGCCCAGGCAGAGACTGCACTGAGACAGGCCAAACTGAGCTCCCCATCCCATCTCTCTTTCCCCCCCAACCAACCCAAGCTCAACCCGATTTGTTGCTTCCCAAACAACTTCTCACACATCCCAATGTCCTCATTCTGTCTATTAAGTCTTTCTTTCACTGACCAACTCAATTGCCACCAATTTCCAGAGGCCTTCTCTGACCACAGAGCATCAGAGATCCAACTTCTCCAACCCTAGGGACTGACAGGATACAGATTCCTGATTCATCTCGGGAAAAACTCACTCAGAGCCTCAACTTACCCACCTCTACAATGGATTCACGAAGCCTGCTAATAAAGCACAGGGAGCTGGGAAGGGAGTGCTGAGGATTCTTGAAGCTGTAGATATGAAGGTAGGGGGAGGTGGAAAGTATGAGACCTAGTGAGATCGGTGGCTGCCTGCATACCCCAACGCGGGGACTGTGCAGAGAGAACTGAGGCTTTAACAGTAGGAGCCCGGCCCGGCGTCTCTTTAATCTGTCCCCTCCGGGCCTCCGTACACAGTGAGCCCGGCCGTCCGGTTCCCCCTCTTCTGCAGGCTTTTTTCTGGGACCCATGCCCCAGGGTCTCAGCCCTCATCCCCGAGCCCCGCCCGCCGCGGCCGCACCTGGTCCGAGTCCTCGTTCTCGCTGCTGTAGCAGCACCCCATGGCCGGGGTCGGGCCGGGCGCTCAGACGGCGCCGAGGAGGGACGGCGTCCGTCAGGAGCCCTTCCGGTCACATGACCCGTGGCTGCAATCAGCAGGCAACCACCCGCCCCCACGACTATCCCTTCCCGGAGCCGCTTCGCTGCCGCGGATGCCGCCGAAACCCCAGCTTCCGGGCCCGCCCCCAGCACGTGATCATCTTCAACGAAAGGCAAGGCGCACCCTACGTGACAAGACATGAGACACGTGATGCGAAGAAAGGGAGGGGTGGATCACATGACTTCAGCCTCTTCTCAGTCACCGAGCTCTAGTTCTCCACTTCTGGTCATCGAGGATTTGCTGCTACAGCCCCGTGTGGTCGCGTGGCCACAAGGCTACCTTTGTGAGCCAGAGAGCGAACTAATATTAAATGCCGTTATGATATGCTCTCCTAAATGCTGTGCAAGGGGCGAATGGGGTGCATGTGACACATAGGCCCCAGGTGCCCAGCACCAAGTCGAGGTATACATAGAGGGTGTGGATGCCCAACGGAGTTCTTTTTTCTCAGCCTGGACTGGGATCTGAAACTTACTGGAAGTGACCTCCTACATTCCCAAGCCAAAGGGGAGTAGAGTGCAATCCTGGTAGAAGAGATACAGGCCACATCACTGATGTCCTTGCCCTCAGGCATTTCTCTTTAATCCTGCCTTTATGTGGCAGCCACAGTGATCTTATAAAAAGCTCACCAATCCAGAAGACACGGGATGGTTCTTAGAACTATTCTGTGTCTTCCCTTGGACCCTGAATGCAGGTCAAAGTCTATCATTCATCATTCAAAATGTTGCAGATCCTAACACCTACCTCCCACTCTAGGCCCGAGGGTGGGGGGCCTGTTGGAGGGGTTGGAGGAATGCCTCACCAGCCATAGGGAAAAACTCGTGGTTTCCTGATTGACCTCCTGGACTTTGCACATGTGGCCTGGCACACTGTCTCCCCACTGGGACTACCTGCTGTCTCCAAAACTCAGTAACAGATTCCCTTCTCTAACTCCATTCTCTAGGCATCTCTACCTTTCTGTGATTGATCCCTATCCAGCATTGATTCACTTATTGACTCATATTTACTGAGTATCTGGAATGTGTCATATACTGTTCTGAATATGTAGCAGTTCACAAAACAGCCAAGAGTCTATATTCACAGAGCAGCCTTTTAATGATCATATTGTATTATGATCTGTGTTCCTGCATTAGTTTTTTCTACTAACCATGGAGTTCCTGGAGGACAGGGACAGGATCTGATTCATTTGTGACCCAGGCCTGACACTTGGTTAGAGAAAATCTGAATTTGGAATTAATTTGGAGTAAATTACAATCTCCCTATCACTTTGGCTCACACCATGCCCCATGTCCTGATCCAAGGGGTTGGAAGAGAGGACACAAAACCCAGTAGCTCTATTACTCCTCAAATCAAGACACTGCTGTTCTATAAGTTTTGTGAGGGCTCCTGAAGGGTAGGCAGCTCCAGCTTGTTCCTGGGGCTAGTAACTTGAACTGCAGGTCTCAGGTGACAGCAGCAGCCTCAGCATCAATAATTGAGAGCAGATCCAGCCTGCCTCAGGATTCTCCCCAACCCCACAAGGACTCCCCCTCCTTTCCAATGCTACATTCTTCCCCAAGCAGGAGGCTCTAGCCCAGGTAAGCAGGGCCCTTGAGTGTGGGTTCCCAAGCACATCAGTTCAAACTCATCATCACTCACCTATTCATACCCATTCATATACTACTACTTTCATTTTTAGTCCCCACCACCAGTGGCCTCAAAAGGGTCCACAGCATGAGAAAAGACAGGGCACTATCCCTTATAGCAGGCTGGGGGGGAAGAGGGTGAGCGAGGATAAAATGTGTGTGTGTGTGTGTGTGTGTGTGTGTGTGGTGTGTATATGCACATGTGAAGGAAATTCTGAGAGAGGAGAGGAGGGGAATGCAGAAGAGTAGAGATAGGATTGGAAAAGAAATATAGAATCAAGGACTCTTCTAACCCCCAGAGAAGAGCAGAGGGCAGGTCCTGAGGCGGGAAGGACATCTCATCCTAACACTTTATGGAGTGTTTTGATTGCCTTTTACTGAGGTAGTGCAGTGACAGTGAGGGGGTTTCTGACTGCACAGCTATGCCCTTTTGCTGCATAGTAATGAGTCAGAGGAGACCAACCAAGCAGATAGTAGGGCAGGAAGAGGATATCTCAGAGGAGAATTGGTGAAAGGGGTCCTGAAGAAGGGTGACAACAGAGATAAGGGGAAACGCATGCAGGGAACAAGGTGAAGATGGGACCAGGAGCCAGAAGTGGGAGAGGTGGTTTGGGGTTGGGTTATGAATTTAGCATGGAGTCCTTGAAAGTACGTGGGCTTGGGATCAGACAACCTTGAATTTGAATCCTAGTTCTGCTGCGTGATTCTGGGCAAAAGACAGACTTTCTGAGCATGGTTTGTAATGACAGGCAAATGGCAGATGTGGGATTCCCTCCCTGCCTCCTTCCACCCCAGGGCCCAGGTAGAGACCATGTCTCCTGCCATCGCGCTGGCCTTCCTGCCACTGGTGGTGACGTTGCTGGTGCGGTACCGGCACCATTTTCGACTGCTGGTGCGCACAGTCTTGCTGCGGAGCCTCCGAGATTGCCTGTCAGGGCTGCGGATTGAGGAGCGGGCCTTCAGCTATGTCCTCACCCATGCCCTGCCTGGGGACCCCGGTCACATCCTCACCACCCTGGACCACTGGAGCAGCCACTGCGAGTACCTGAGCCACATGGGGCCTGTCAAAGGTCAGTGTTCCCTAGCCTTCTGCTCCGGGAAGCACCCCCAAGATAGTGAAGGAAGAGCTGGTATCTGTCGCTGCCTTACTGGGTGAATTGGGCAGGTTCTTGATACTTGATGGGTCTCTTTTTTCTCATCTGGAAATGAGAGGGCTAGACAAAGTTATTCATTCATCCAGCAAACATTTATTTCTACCACTTTTGTACCAGGCATGGGCTGGGTGCTGGGGAGGAAGGAGATAGAGGCACAAGGATGAATCAGCCACAGATGCTGGTCTCAAATGGGGCATAATACACAGATGAATAACCATCTTAGCACAAGACCCAAAACTTTGTAATGATTTGTGTCTGAGTCTTTCCCCCACCTCAGAGGCTCCCATATCTCATTCAGAGCCGTCTGCCTAGATTTGTGAGTCCCAGCTTCCAAGCTCCCAGCACAAGCACTTTTAGAATCTTATTTAAAAATTCATCCAATTCCAAGGTTAGAAAGATATCCAATGAAAAAAATAAGAGTTAAGAAATGGTAAGTTCCAGCAAAGTTTTCTCAGCCTGGAAGATGGTCTCTCAGAAGCCAGCTGGTTGTTTTCACCTGGGCCCTCTTTAAGAAAATATTTAAACTGCACCTAGAAGGATTGCTTTTGAGTTGGCCAAAGAGATGAGGATAGGGGTGGGGAAGGGCAAAACCAGCCACATACACAAATGTGACAGGAAGGAATGAGTCAGAATGGTTGACCCTGGGAACAGTTTGGGATGGCTGTGGTACAGGCTACAGATGGGAAGAACTGAGAGCTGGAAATGGAAAGGTAGGATAGGATCAGGTCTAAGAAAGTCCTGAATGTCAATCCGATGATCCCAAATTCAATCCCAAAGGCCTTTAGAATCATAGGAACCAGGGAATGACAACATCAGATTGTTTGTCAGAAAGATTCCTAGTGGCTGGTGTGAAGACTAGACTGAAGGAGGCAAGCGTGGAGGGCCAGGGGGACCAGTGGGGCAGCTGGGGCTATAGTCCACAGAGATAAGACTCCACCTGGTTGGGGGCTGCTGTAAGGCAGGTGGGCATTTGAGATATCTTTCTATCAAGAGCCTGCATCCATCTCCTGTCTGCTGCAATAGCCATCTCCCTCCCTAGGTCAGATCCTGATACGGCTGGTGGAAGAAAAGGCCCCTACTTGTGTGCTGGAGCTGGGCACCTACTGCGGGTACTCCACACTGCTTATTGCCCGTGCCCTGCCCCCTGGGGGTCGCCTTGTCACCGTAGAGCGGGACCCATGCACTGCAGAGGTGGCTGAAAAACTCATTCGCCTGGCTGGCTTCGATGAGCGCACGGTCAGTCCCTACCTCCCTAACCCTGCTACCCCCTGGCCTTGCCCTGGCCATGCCTCCTCCATGGGGGAATCTCACCTAGGAAAAGGAAGCAGCTCCACTTAGGGAACTGTGATCCTGGAGGGTGCGTGAGCTCCTGTCCTCCTGTTACAAGTTATTTGCATATATTTGCTGCTGAATGACAAAGAAGCAGTTAGGAAAGTCTCTGGAGCTCAGCAAATCTTGGTCCAAACTTTAGTCTGCCTCTTATTAGCTTTGTGACCTTGGGTAAATTCTCTGAATTTCAGCTCTATGGCAGAATAGAAATCACAATACTGATCCTAACCTCTTGGGTTCTGAGGCCAGAGGAAATGTGAGAACACTAGTGGAGACCTAGACCAGGGCCTGGCATAAAGTAAGCCGGATCCTGGTGGGGTGTGGTGTGGGAGAACAAGTCCTCCCACCTGTACCTCCAGCTCTTCCCATCCCCACAGGTGGAACTCATCGTGGGTAGCTCAGAGGAGGTGATCCCACGTCTGCGAACCAAGTACCAGCTGAGCCGAGTAGACTTGGTGCTTCTGGCACACCGGCCCCGATGTTACCTGCGGGACCTGCAGCTGCTGGAAGCCCATGCCCTGCTGCCAGCTGGTGCCACTGTGTTGGCTGACCGTGTGCTCTTCCCTGGTGCACCCCGCTTCCTGCAGTATGCCAAGAGCTGTGGCCGCTACCGCTGCCGCCTCCACCATACTGGCCTCCCTGACTTCCCTGCCATCAAGGATAGCATAGCCCAGCTCACCTACGCAGGGCCTGGATGAGGTCCAGACCCAGGGGTGTTTACAGCTGCCCCACCCCACCCCACTCCCACCCAAGCAAGGACCTCAGAACATCCCTTCTCCCTGCTTATGGCCTGACACATGCTGGGCTCAGAGCTGGGAAGGCTCTCCTTCCACCTCTGCCCCACTCACCTGAGGCGTCAAGTTCTGTCAGGCTGCTTGGTTCCCACTGGTCTCCCCGTGCTTCTCCCCCCAACCTGAGAGCGAGCCATAGACTGACAGGTGAGAGGTCTGAGCTCTCACCCCCAGCTCTCTGATTTGCTGGGTAACTCCAGAGGAGTCCTTGCCCTGCTCTGAGACTTAATCCACTCTCTTAACATCAAGGAAGTTGGCTAAGAGAATTCTAGGGGAATCCTAGCTTTGGGCCTCAGAAAGCCTGCCCTCCCCAGCCCTTGCCATTGAAGGTGGGAGCAAAGGAAACAGTAAACTCTGAGTTAGAGGCCCTGCAGGAATGGCTGGTGCAAGCTGAGCCAGAGGAAATAACAATGGAGGCTGGGCCCAGGCCTTCCACCTGGCTTTCCCTAGCCCTGGCCCACATAGTCAGGTAGGTTTGCCTGAAGTCCCTTGAGTGCCCTCTCCCCAAAGCTCAAGAGAAGATCCTGGATTCTCCTCCCCACCAACAAATAGGGAATAGACATGGGAGATGGGGAATCAGTCCTGTGTGTTTATTAACAAGAGTTAGAAAGGAACTACACCTGGCAACATAGGGGTGAGGTACTGGCCAAAAAGGTAGGCTGGGCTCCGGCCCTGGGGACTCAAGGGCAAAATGATGGCCCAGAAAGGGCCAAGGATACCAGGTCCTGGCAGCAGCTGAGGAGGTGCCTGAGGGTGAGCTTTCAGGTACTGGGTCGATCCAGCTGGTTCTGCAGAAGATACAGGGTAGGTTGGGCTGGCCTGGAATCTCCCTGAGGCCACCCTCAGGGAGATCATCTTGTCTACCTAGATCATCCACTGGTCCTGATCCTGTTCGTTGCCTTCCATGTCCACCTGGAGAAGAGACTGGATGTGGGTGGGGAGGGGTCTCAACCACCCAGCCAGTCCCAGTCCCAGATCCTGCTCCTGGCTGGATCCAGGGTTTCTGTACCTCTTGGCCACCAATTAGGACAGCGAAAGGGACCCAGGAGCAAAGGCCCTCCCCCACACCCCTGCCTACCTCATTGACCTCTCCATCATCAGGTGACTCATTGTAATCATTCATCTCGTCCATGTCCTGCATGTCCTCATCATCCTCTGAGTCCTCTTCACTATCCTCATCATCGTCTTCATCCTCCTCTTCCTCATCATCATAGTGCTGGTGAGGCAGGGGAGAACCTGTAGGCTCTACAGGCCTGCTTGGACCAGTTCAATGGCTGGCCCACTTGGAGCCTCTCTGGGGCTAACAAATGACCCCCACTCCCCAACCCTGTCCCACTTGAGTCTAACGAGCTGGTGTATGTGCTGCAGGACCTTAGTTCTGGGCCCAACGCCCACCCTTTTTGCTCCCCTTCTGGCCTCTACCCACAGCTAAGGACCACAACTCTGAGTCAGATGCAGGACCTTCCGAATTAGAGCAAAGCCTTAGTCCACCTGGGCCTTACTCACCTCTGAGGCCGGCTTTCCAATAGGTACCAGGTTGTTGTCTTTCTCTGCAATGCTCTGGAGCTGTGGCCGAAAGGAAAGGAAAGCAGGGCCAGAGCCCAAGCAGGGAAGGTCAGGGGCATGGAACTGGACCACCCTGCTCCCAAGAAGACCCCCAATGTGGAGAAGCTTCCTTCCAGTTCTCAGGAAAATTCAATCCGTTTCTCTCCTGTCATCTACCACTTACTTATGAACTTTATCCAACTACATAAATTCTCTGGGCCTTGGTTTCCTCATAAGATTATGGTGAGGATGAAGTAAGTGACTATCGGCCTAGAACAAGGTATCTGCTAGGTCCTCAACAAATAGTCAAAATTATTTTCTGTGCTTTAAGGAAAAGATCCAGGCTCCAATCTGGCCCAGAGGTCCCATGGTCCCCCAGCAAATTAGGTTAACATAAAGATAAGAACCTAGGCCTCCTGGATCCCAGCCTGATTATTCCCAGCTCAAGGCAAAAAGGCCCTTCCGGGCAGGTCTCCAGAATAAGGTTGGCTCATGGCCAGTGAAGGAAGGCTCCACCACTGTGCTAGGTCCTCACTCACCCAGGCTTGATGCTGCTGTTCTTGCTGCTGTAGCTCTGTCTCTTCCACACAGGGTCGATCCAGATTAAACCACAGAGTCTCAGTCACACGGCGAAAGAGTGAGGGGAACAAGGTGGACATGGCTCCTAGACTGAGGGAAAAGGTCAGGTGAATCCAGCTCTCAGATGTGTTTGGTTTTGGTTTTTATCTGGGTTACAGTTTGATTTGGGGATGGGGTAGAATGGAAGGGAGCAGGGAAGCAGCTCTTCCCTGTGGGAATCAGACAGACCTGGGTTTGAGTCCCGGTTCCACTACTTACTAGCTGTTTGACTTTGGCCAAGTCACTTAACCTCTCTGAGCCTCAGTTTCCTCATCTGTAAAATGGGGATAATAACAATTATACCACTCTCACAGTTACTCTGATAATTAAGTAAGGTAATTTACTTTATGGATAAGTAAGGCTGTTTGCAAACTGTTCAAGGAGGGAAGAAAATGGAAGCCAAATGTAGAAATAGAAATCCAAAATTCAGACTAGCATTACAAAATTATAGGTAGCAGAGCTCTCCTCCACACACTAAGACCTACTTTTTTGTCCCTCTATGATGGTCCATACCATACCCACCCAGTGTCAGAAATCTAGAACACTAACCACTTCTCTCATAAACCACAGCTAAATTGCCCGAGGCGGCGGGGCCAGGAAAGGGTACCACGTGCAAGTATGATTCAGTAAGACATTCTAAAGGCATGGGTAAATGTATAAATAAGTAGATGGAACTTTGAATGGATAAACTAACATGTGAGAGAACAAGTAAATTTAGCTCCAATTAAGTAGCTGAGGGAGCTGAACAGGAAGGTCCCAGAGAATCTGAATTAAATTAGCCTTTGGGCTCACAGGAAAATTGAGGCCCAGCGATAGGTAACGACTGGCTCTAGGTCACACAGTGAATTGGGGCATGGAGCTCGCGCGGGGAAGAGATCCAGGCTGGGCATAGCGGAAATGATCTGGAGAAAAGGATCTACGTCTATTTCTGCTTTTGCCCTGACTTATTTGACCGATCCGGAGCCAGCCGCTGCCCGGAATTCCGTGGACCTTAGCTTGCCAGACCATGTAACAGGTACAACACTACCAACTCTCACGTCCCTGGTTTTGAGAGGCACAAAGACTGACGCTTCAAAATTCCAACCCCTGCGGCAAAGCCACCGCCCACTTTGCTTTTTATGATAATCACCATAACGTTGACCAACAGGAAAAATGCAGGGGCGGGACTCGGACAGGCATTTGCCCTTATAGGGTTACTAATGGAGAAAGGAGCGGGGCCGCAATAGGGCCATTTAACTGGAAGAAATTCTGGGTGACAGGAAGTGACACCAATGAGTGACGGATCTTGTGTGACGGGGTGGGGCTTAGTTTCGAGGAAGCGGCCAATGAACGGGAGTTCTTTACTGTTGAAAGGCGTCTGAACATGGAGCTCTTGAGGAGGCGAATCAGGGGAACGAGATTTCTCTGGGGGAGAGAGGAAAGGAGGAGTAGGGAGACAGCAAACGCAGCCTTGCTTCTGTACTTACCGCGCCGGGAGGCGGCAGCCGGCGGCGACCCGGAAGCACTTCACTCTGCTAGAGCGGAAGGACCCACCAGAACCTGGGACACACCAAACGCATGCGTCTTTGGTCTCCTTTTGTTTCCCGCTCCCGCCCACCGGAACGGATATGACGTTATATACCGTAGTTACGTTGTTGGGGATGGGAATTTGCCGTACCTACTCTGCTGGCCCCGCCTTCAAACTCAGTCATTCGGCCTCTCCAGCCTGGCCCCGCCCCAATGGCTCCATTTAACTTCGCCCTTCTTCCTACAGGCAGTATTTGTCCGCCCACCGCTGCTGAAAAATAGCTGTCCTTAAGCTGCCTTAGCCTTGGGACTGCCCTGCTGAGTCTCAGGATAATTAGTAGGCTTCCACCCTTGAATCGCTGGGTAATTTTACGCTGCTCCTGTCTGTCCTCTCACAGCCTCAGTTTCCCTTTTGGGCGCATACATTCATTTATGTATGCCTTCAGCAGAAATATTTAAGTCCCTACTATAGTCCATGCTCTGCAAGAAGCTGAAGATAAATCTAGGAACGTGGTCCCTGCCCGAAAGACCTCATAGTCCAGAGGAGAAGGTAGACTCTGCAGACCTGCAGTGTCTCACTGAACTCTAAGATTGTCTGTCTCGTTCTGCATTCCACATTATGTAGCAGCTTAAGTGACTGGTCAGCCTCAGGCACAGCGTTCTACCGCTGGGGAATTCAGCTGCTTCTCCAGTCCTGGGTCAAATCGTTTCGTGGTCAGCTTCATCATCTCTCCCACTCTTTTGCTGATGTCTCCATTATAGTAATCTCTGACTCACCCTCCCTTCCAGAGTTCCTCATTCCTTCTGTCAAGAAGTCCTTCGAACGCAACCCCCATTAAGCTCCATCACACACCAGCCTCTTCCAGGGCCAGCAATCCAGTTCCACTCTTGCCCCCACCAGATGTGTGGCCTTTAACAAGTCTTTTTTCTCTGTCTTGACACAGTTTTCAACCAATATCATCTCTGCCCAGATTTCTTCCTATCCTGGACTGATGTGAGGATCTGATGAGGTAACATGTTTAAGAGGTCGTGTAGTGTGCATATATTGACATGATTATGTTTCCAAGCAGCTCTGGTTGTTACATAGTTTTTCGCAGAGTAAAATTTGCCTCTTGGAAATGTCTACCCTTTTTGCTCATTCATTCAACAAATACCTATTGAGTGCCTTACATATATGCCTGTCAATATTCTGAGTGGTGGATATACAATAGTGAACAAAACAGACCCCAAAAAATCTGTCTCCTCATGGAGCTTCCATTCTAATAAGAGAGAGAAACAATAAAGAAGATAAACAAAATATATAGTTTTAAGATTACAGTAAATACTAAGGAGACAAAATCAGAGAAGTGAGAATAAAAAGTTGGCAGGAAAGATGTTTTGTTTTAGATAGGGGAGCCAAGGAAAACTTTACTAGGAAGGTGACTTTCGAAGAAAGGTCTGAAGAGAAGGAGAGGACACTATTCTGATATTTAGGGAAGAGCATTTCAGAGACAGGGCAAGTGCAAAGGGTCTAGAAATAGCTGGAGCATAGTGTATCCTGTGGAGAGTAAGAGGATATGAGGACAGAGAGGTAGCAGGAGCCAGACAGCACAGCCTTGCAGGTCATAATAAAGACCTTGGCTTTTATGCCAGGTTGAGGATCCTGTGAAGGGTTTTGAGCAGAGGAGCCACACAATCTGATTTACATTTTAACAGAGTTACTGTGGCTGTTTAATGAAGAATAGATTCAGCAGGGAGAGTGGCATAAACAGGGAGACCAACTGGGATCCTGTTATAATAATCCAGAGGTGGGGATAAAAAGTGACCCTCAAACAACGTGGGGGCTTAGGGGCACCAACCCCAGTGTAGTTGAAAATCTGCATATAACTTTTGACTCCCCCAAAACTTAAATTGTCCCTCAGTATCTGTCAGGGATTAGTTCCAGGACCTCCCACAGAAACCAAAATCCCCACGGATGCTCAATTCCCCTGTATAAAATGACATCGATCGGTGCATACAGTTGGCCCTCTACATCCGTGGACTCCCAAACACTGATCAAAAACAGTACAGGTAGTTATTGAAAAAAATCCACGAATAAGTGGACGCATGCCATTCAAATCCATATTGTTTAAGAGTCAACTGTATTTAGAAGGTAGAGACAATCTTTGCTGACAGATTAGATATCGAATATCAGAGGAAGAAAAGAGCCAAGGATGCACATATCAATTTGGGAGTCATCCACACATAGATAGTATTTAAAGCCATGAGTCTGGATGAGATCACTAAAAGAGTGCATATAAATTGAAAATAGTTTCCTTCATAATTCAGAATTCGAGGAAACTGGGAGAAGCAGCAAACCAGACTGAGAAGGAGAGCCAAAAGGATTAAAAAGCCTAGTGAGTTGGGTGGTATCCTGGAAGCCAAGTAAAGAAGAAGGATTGGGAAGGAAGTAGCTAACCACTACAACCTAGTTCTACACAAAATTGTGTTTCTCTGTGTTTCCCCAGCAGATTATGAGCTCCTTGAAGGCACAGACTGAGTGGTTTCTGTGTCCCCAGGACCCAGCCTGGCCTCTCCCTTCTCCTGGACCCCTTATCTGCTATCCTGAGGCCTATGTCTCCATTAGTCTCTCCTCCTGCTTCTTTTCCTCTCTGGATTCCTACCTCCAGCACCCTTTGCTTCTTATCCTTCCTGACAGTTCTGACTTGATGAAAATTCTCCAGTAACCTTGAGTTTCTTACCAAGGTCCTCAGCCAGGTTCAATAAGTCATGGTGACTGGTTACTTAGGGGAGGGAGAAAAGGGAGAAGAAGAAGTGGAAATTTTGAGTAGTTCTCTCTTTTTGGCTCCAGCAACTGACTCAAATGATGGTGCCATTTGTTTTACATTCATTAGCCATCATTTATCCTTGCCAAGTGTTTGACTTTCTTTCATTTCAAGGGTAAAAAAAACTAAGACTCTAAGAAGTTAAGCAATTTGCCTCATATTCCTTCATTTGTTACACTGTTTGGTCAACATTTACTGAGTGCCAACTGAGTGCCAGATGCCTTGATTGGCCCTTAGACAGAGATGAAGCAGAAATAATTCCTGTCCTAGAGAGAAATACAGTTTAGTGAGGACTAAGACAATTATAGACAATTATAGAAGAGGGTAGTAAATATTAAAATCAATGTATGTAGACAGTATTATGAGAGCACAGAGGAGGGAGAAATGTAGGGCTCTGAATAAACTGAGTTTAGACTTTTGTTCCAGGGATGGAAACATTTCAGTGGGCCTTGAGGGATGAATATGAGATCACCGGGTAGACAGGTGGGAAAAGGGGATGCACAAGAGGCATATAACAAGCACGGACATGGAATTGAAAGCAGATGATGTGTTTAGAAAACAGTAAGAGTCCTTTTGGGGAGAACTAGGTATCTAGAAAAAGAAGAAAGAATGTTAGAAGGACTCAGGTGGGGAAGAGCTTTGGTGACCCTTAGGCGGAGTGGACAGAATGGGAGCCAGGATTCCTGGGTCTTGTCTTAGCCCTATTGATGACTTGCTGGGGACCCCAGGCAGGTCCCTTCCCATAAATGGCCTAGCTGCTGTTTTCACTAACATAATATCCCAATCAGCTCTGATTGAGTCCCTGGAACACAATCCCCAGACCTGGCCCTTTCTGTGCGGAGATGTTACCTGCTCCTTCATTGTGTTTTGTACAAGCCAGGGCCTGGGCTGAAAGCAGGAGGCACAGTGGGGATTTCCTAACAAGCTGGAGGGAGAAATCCATGGCTCTATGCAGAGAATTCTCTAGGGTTCAGGAAGGGCCAGAGCTGACAGATATGAATTCAATGCTAGTAAGATCTGCTTCCACAATCCTTCAGGAGTATAACTGGCTCTGGTAGGAGACAGAGGGGACCGTCACTATCGTTCATTCATACTGAGGGATATTTGGTCTTCAAAGGACTTTCACATTTACTTTCCTTTATTCTCATCGCAGCCCTGGGACTCCTGGCCCCAGTTACCTTATGAGAAATGTGGAAAGTGAAGTGGTTTGTCCAAGCTGAAGCTATAACTCAAGAATGTCAATTTTGCATTTATTCCACAAAGCTTTCTTATGAGCTAGTCTATGATGGGGAACCATGGAAGAATCAAATCTGAGTCCTCATCTTCTGGAAGCCCCCAGTCTAGTTTGAGAGGCATAAAGCAAATCATTAGGCCTTGAGGGCGGGTGTCTAATCCATCTCTATTTCCTCAGCCGCTAGCATAAGCCCTGGCATATGGAGTAGCTACTCAAGAAGTGTTTATACAATATGGTTTTTTTTCTTTCAGTTTAATGGAATTGAATTAGAATTCATGTGCCTATATGCTACAAATGCTACGGTGGAGATAAGGCTCTGAAAAGAGTGGGAACATTGAGAGGAGAAAGGCAACATGTGGGAGAGGATGTGGGGAGGGCACTTCAGGAAGATGAGATCTTGCAGAAGACAGGAAAGGACATTCTAGACAAGAAGAGACAACATGTGCAAAAGCATACAGGCTTGAAAGGGTGTGGTGTGCTCAGCACATGGCAATGACTGAGGGCCTGCTTGTGGTCATCTTGG